ACTACTGACTACTGCATAGCCCCAGAGATATCTTCACCACAGAGAGGAGAGCAAGGCAGGGCATTCGGAGGCTCTTCTGGAAGCCTGGTAGGTGAGGGTGCGGTGGAGAGAGGCTTCTAGGTTCAGGGGTGTGGATTTGGGTGACATGGACCTCTTTTGAGATGCTTTGATGGGGGCTGGGATTCAGAACCCATCACAACTGACTGAGCATTGGCTTCTTAGTCTGTGTCACCAACTCCTGGAGCCTTACACTGAGACTGGGAACGTGCCACTAGAGGTCACTGGAGTTTGTGGCTCTGCACCTCAGCGCAGCAAGGGGACCAGTGTTGGATGCCTCCGAGTGGAGGCAACCAAATCAACACTGGGTCATGGTACATAGTTTTCAGGGACCATGAATGCTCTCCCTGGGAAGAAAGTTCACTCTTTTACTGGACAGTTTTCCATGTCATTCATTCCAATCTCCCTCCCATTTCTACTCCCAGATGCTAATTCTGTGCTGGGAAGACCTGGCCACTAACGCCTCTGGTGTTTGATCCCCACCAGGGTTAAGAAAGGAGAGTTTTAGCTTCATGTCCTGGATCCAGTCATAAGGAAAATATGATCCCTCTGTGCCCCCAGGGGGAATGTGTCCCAAAATGAAGGGTGTTACTTTCTTTACTGAAAATTCAGTTGTTCCATAATTGTGCTTTGTTTACTTCTTTCAGGCAAAAAGAGGGAAGGCTGGTTTGATTTGAGGTTTGGGTCTTACTTTATGAGCAAAGTTCTTTTCAGACCTAAGGTCCTTATTTTAAAATTTTATTTTCTTTGTGTGTGTGTATACGTGCATGTGCATGTGTGTGTGTGCTCACATACACGCACACATGCCTGATGGGGAGTAGCAAGCATGCCACGCTGTGTGCCTGGAGCTTAGAGGACAGTTTTATGGAGCTGAATTTTTTCTTCCACTTTTACATGGACTTCAGGGATCAAATCTGCTGAGTATCTTGCTGGTGCCCAGGGTTCTTATTTATTCTCTCTCTCTTTTTTTAATAAAATTAGACTTCTTGCCCAGGAGATCTAAGGGCAATGCATGACCTAACGTGTATACACAGCACAGTGTGACACTCAGTAGACGCTTTCTCATGACCTCATTGCTACTCCTGAGGGATCCAGGTTCTGTTTATTTACATCTGTCCCCTCTTGGATATCACAGGGTTTAGTATGGCCGTCCTTATGTGTCTTTAGCAAACAACCGAACTAGCTCACAACTAGAACTTAGGTACACAGATTTTAACCAACTACTATTTAATCTTTGTGGAAGATTCAGTAGGTTATATTAGACTAACATGATACTGCATGCCTGTGATCCCAGAGCTCAGGAGGCAGAGCAAGAGGATCTTGAGTTCAGAGTCATGCTGGGCTACATACTGAGTCAAAGTCAACCTGGACTTACAGGATACATGAGACTTTGCCTACATCCTTGTCAAAGACGTGTATCTTATAAAATTCCTACCATGGTTCTTGTTGTGGAGTATTCACCAGAGAAGACTGCTCAGAAATAGATTTAAGTCAATAGAAAATCTTTATTAGCCAGTCAATGACTACACTGGTGTTTGAGATCCTACTGGAGCCCTGAACCTTTCTCAGGGTGAGCACAAAAAGCCATGCCCTGGATTGACATACTTAAGTGAACAAGAACAGTTAGCCAGAAACAGAACTACCAAAGCCAAAAAGCAAGGTTAGCACATTTAGAGACCTGCCCAGAACTATGGACTTTGATGGATTAGGTCTTTGTTTTCATTTTTGGTAGGTGGTGCTGTCTACACGCTGAGTTTTACAGCTCAAATGGCACTTCCATCATGGAGTCAGTTGCGCTAACGTCTGGAGGCCTCTTACAGTACTAATGATCCAACTGGGAGAAGCAAAATTTAAACACAGCTAAAGGGGCTCGTACAACGGCTCAGCAGGTAAAGGCACTTGCCAGAACCCATATAAAAGCAGCAGAGAACCAACTTCACAAAGTTGTCCTATGATCCGAATATGCGCACACTGGCACAGCTCCTCCCCACCACACATTCATACAATCGTAATAATTAAAGAAAAAACTAAGAGTAAGCACAGAAATGAATATACAGAAAGTGACTGGAGTTGTTTAGAAAGATACATTATTTCTTAAGCAGAGATCTAAGATGAGTTTATAGCTGGACTCTTGCCAACAGTGAGCCGTGTCAAATGCTGGAGTTGGGGAGAAGGGGACCGACTATGTAGCAGAGACATGTGCTGGGGAGGCGGATTTTAGGGTGTAGGCAGTATTGGGAGAGCACTTGGTTGCCTGGAGGTGGAGTGGGAGTGCCTGGCTACAGACAAAAAGCCTTGGAAAAGAGAAGTTAAGGAGAAAGACACCATTGTCTCTTCACCATTTGGCTGTTGATTTCTTTCCCTGCCAAGGTATAATAAAGTTATAATTAAAATCCAGAAGTGCTCTGGCTGGGCCCCACACCCGGTGTGAGAGCCTCCACGTTACAGCTCTAAGGTAGAGCCATCAAATCACTGCTTCACACACCATAAGTTCAAGGAACTTACTCTCTAGGAGGAAGTCCCACTCCTCCACCAGACAGTTCTAAGTGGCATTTAATCCCCACTTTCCCTTCAGGGCAGCTAGTGCCATTCCAGAGCCACAGACTGAGTTTCTTCCATATTCCCGGATGCCAGTTATACTTGTCAACACCTGCTTTCACATCTTAGCTTTGTGTTTCCAAATGCCACTATCACGATCAAACTACTGTGAAATGACCCCTTGCCTCAGCCTGCCACCCTTTCTGGTAGCCGATTGGGGAGCCTCCATCCAGATGCTTTACACTGAGCTTCCCTGCTATGCCATGATACAACACTAGATGGCACTGTGGACAAGCCCCCGTACGATGCTCCAGGACTCCAGGCTAACCCACTATGATGCTTCCTAATCCTGTGTTCTTGAGTTCTTGAGTGCTGGACTTCTTCAGAATGACTACCCTTGATCCCTTTGCTCTGTGAGGTGATGAGTGCATCAGATTCTTGTCTATTCAGCACCCAATCCTCCATTCCGTGACAGCCCAAGGAACTTTCCTTTGAAGAACGATTTCCTCACATGACATGATGTAGTTCTTGTGGGTTCTGCCACTTGGAGATGTGTCCACATTGGCTAGTCCATTTTGGAATGTATGTTGCTATGGGACCAGGATGAAGCAGAATGGGGACCATATCCATAAGTAGGATAAGTTAGTTATAGCAGTTAACTATTAGTTAAGTAGGATATCTGACATTTGAACCCAAGGGTCCTGTAACAGGACCCCTTAACTCCCTTACCCCTCCCTTCTGGAGTGACAAGTCTTTGTGTCCACTTGGAGTGCTTACTGGGCAAGCACCACACTCTCCTGTACTCTCACCTTCCTGCCTAAATACTCTGCCTCCTTCTCTGGGTGAACCCGGCTTTTCTTTCAGGACACCAGCAACTTTGAAGACGCTAAGAAAACTGCCTGTAATTCCATGGCAGTCACTAAGACTAGTGTTTGCATTTGGTGTAGAGTGCAGTGGTGGGAAACTGGGGCTAGGCCTGAGAAAGAGTCCAACAACAACAGCTAAGAGGGAAGGTACATACAGTGGGAGGTTCTGTAGTGATTGACAACCATAATCAAGGGGCTGGGGAGGTGGTTTAAGTAGTGAAAGTGTTTCTTACACAAGAGTGAAGATGGGAGTTCAGATCCCCAGAGCCTATGTAAATGTTTTTCTGCCTGCCTATAATCCCAGCACACAGGAGAAAACGGGATACCTGGAGCTAGCTGGATACTTAGGCTAGCTGAACTGGTGAGCTCTGGCTTTAAGTGAGAGACCCTTGCTTGGTACATAAGATAGAGAGTCATCTGGAAAGATTCCTATTTCCTGACCTCCATACGCATGTATCCAAACTCACTTGTGCACGCGCGCGCACACACACACACACACACACACACACACACACACACACTCTCTATACATACCCACTTTAAATCCAAGAGATGACTTTATATGAAAAAGTTAATCAATTTCAGTGGTAGGATTATTAATAATTTCCCATTATTTTTAAGATTCTATTTTTAACATTTTACAGTGAGAATGTACTATATATACTACAGGAAGAAAACTAGAAGATATTTTGATGTATTAATAAAGTATTAGACATTTCATTCCTATACATGTTTATGTACATTAAGTAGATGAATTCCACCTTGGAAATTTCCTCTAAGAAAGCAGATGAAGTTACAAAATAAGATGTTTATATGACCTTATTTGTAACCATGTAAAGCTTAAACAGTCTAACATTATAAGAATGACAGAATATATCACCTCTTCCATATCAAAGGAAGACTGTCAAGACTGTGTCTATTCTGCCCATCCTGGTGGTACATGCCTTTGAGCCCAGCACTTTGGAGGCAGAGGTAGATGGATCTCTCTTTGAGGACAGCCTGATCTACATAGCGAGGCTCTATCTCAAATGAGAATTGTGTCTAAGTTTGTTATGGCAATGACAGATTATGAAATATTGCGAGATAAGAAAATGTAGAATATAGTTTTATTCTGATTATTACAATACCTTTTTAAATGCTTAGAAAGGATGCACTATATGGGTCTAGAATACAGGTTATTTTGATTGATGTGACACAAGGGGACTTTAGGATCTTATTTTCGCTTGTCAGCATTTTCCAAGTATGATCATTAGTCACTTATGTTAACAGGAACAAGCATATAATTATTTGGAAACACGGCATGCTTGAGTGCTGAAGGAATTTATCAGTCTCTGGAGAGCCTCCTAGGACTGGGTGGAGACAGAACGATAAACTTCTGACCTTTAGGGTCCCAGGGATCCACCCCCAGAGAACAGGGCCTCCAGGCACCCTTTATCATATGGAACATACTGATCCCAATCCAGCCTGGGCCCTAAAGGTCTGTCTCAGGGTTGGGGTTCCTCCAAGGGTTGTCTGCCACCTCAGAGAGCTAGCACAGTGTCTTCTACCAGCTCTCTCCACCTCAGGCGGCCCCACCACAGTGGGGTGAGAGAGGACTCTTCCCCCATCACTTAGTCAGCATCACTGAACTTGAGCCTCCCCCAGGCCTCCCCCACCCTTCCACAGAATGGTCTACCCAGCTGCTGGCATGGCCCTGCTTATCTATAGGCCCAGCTGTGACTTGAAGTGCCTTTGACTCCCTTAAGCATCTTGCTGGCTTGACTCACTGGAAGAGACAGCTGCCAGAGTATCAGGTAGTTGTAAGAGGGGGTATTGTTAGAGGGAATCTCATCTGCAGGTACAGCAGGTGAAGCCAGGTGAACAATGCCTTGCAGTTTTTTGAGATCCTGCCTCTAGAAGCTATGTATGGACACCAGAAGGGGTTCCTTGCTTTCTTAGAGATGGCATTGGATTTCCAGGCCACTTAGAGCTATCTGTTTGCCCCTAAGCCTCAGACCATCAAACAGCAAGTGCCCACAAACCTCCACTGTGGACTTGATCACTTTCAAGGACACAGGGGCATCCCATATCCCTGGCCTCCTGGAAACCTCGGTTTCCTTATTTGCAAAATTAGGGGCTTGTCCAAGAAGATCATAAAAAATAAATCATACTTGCCTTCTGAACCTGCTTCGCTTAATGGGAAGGTGGGAAACTGAGGCTCCTGATAGGACTGTCTCATAAAGTGGGTAGAGTTCAGCCCAAAAAGAAAACAGAGAAACAAGATGGAGCTTCGACCTTTGGGAGGAAATGTTTTCTTACTAAGGATAGAACTTCACACACAAGGCTTGCGGTGGGGTCCTAGGGGGAAGACAGAGGCCGGAGACTTGTCCACATTAATCCCGATGCATCTAATGAAGTCCTGGTGTGTTTCACCTTGGGCTTTGTGTGATGGGAGGGGTGGGTGTGCATGAACATGTGTGCATGTGTGTGTGCACGCGCCCATGCACACACACACACACACACACACACACACACACACACACACACACACATCGTCATGAAGAGGAGAGATTAATTTTAGGTGTCATTTCTCAGAAGCCAACCCGTGTGTGGCATCTAAGGACAATTTGTGGGAGTGAGTTCTCTCCACTGTGTGGAACCCGGGGTTCAAACTCAGGCCATCAGACTTGGCACAAGGGCCTTTATCCACAGAGCCATGTCACCCATCCTTTGTATTTTCTTTCGTCTAAGAGGCCACATTCTTTGTATTTCTTCTCTCCCATCTTCCTTCATCCCTTTGATCTCTTTACAGCCAGAGATGTTCTGCACATGAATTTCCACTCATTCTGCCTAATGCCTTGGAAACCAGCGTCAATCTTCACCTAAGTCCTCAGCTCTCCTAGCTTAAGTGGGAAAGTACAACAAGAAGGCAAATTTCATCTGCCTCATTGCATGTAAGAACATGAATTTATGTTGATGAGCTGCTTTCGACTTTCATAAAGCTAAAAAGAAAACAGACTCCCATTTCATGCCATCCCAAGAGATGGAGTAGCAAGGGCTGACAGTGTAGCAAGGGCTGAACTCTCTCCTCATCCCCCAGACCCTGTGTCTTTAGTCACTGCCTTCATCTCAGGGGTAGTATTGCCTAGAAGGTGGTATGGCTTCCCAGGCTAAGTCAACAGTGAAGCTGCCTGTTCACTGGTCAGGACTAGTGAGCCAGGATTCCCCAGCAGGTACATCATTTCTCATGTTACATCATTTGGCAATGCTAAAAATTAGCATGACTAATTCAAACCTTCTCGTCAATCCAACATCTTTTATATATACTAGTGCATATTGTCAGGTCCAAAGGAAACTCCAATTCCCAAAACTCTAAAAGGTAGTCCAAATATCCAAAAATGTTCTCAACCTGGACTGTAGCAGGATTTCTGGTGCTTAGATGAAAGCCAGCATTCCCCAGGAACTTGGGAAACTGGTTTCCATCTACCGAGCAGAGTCATTTCCCTCACCTCTGGGAGAAGGGACACATGGCCTCAAACTCATTCTGCAGCAGAGATGAGTATTGAACTTGGAATCCTACCTCTTACCTTCCCAAGCAGCTGCATTGTTTAAACCACCAGTCTGTGGTAATTTGTCAGGGTAGCCATGCAAGATAAATGCATATCCTATGGATTTATTAAGAAGAAAAACTACTTAAAGACTTTTAAAATCCTTTTACATGTAAATAGTCAATGACAAATTTTTACAAACAAAGGCTGACTGTTAGGTTAGCTTAGCTTTTGGATATTTGAATTTGAAGTCATTTAAGTTACACATCAAGGCTAAAACTACTAAGTTAGGATTTGTAGACTGAATTTTGTGTTAGAGAGGAATTTTTGTCTATAAAATTTACCTTGAAAAAAGACCCTGCATGCTCTCCCTCATATATGGATCCTAGTCAATAATATATAAATGTGTATATATAAACGGATATGTGTACAGGCATAGTATAACATGTAGATAGGAGGACAAGAAAGGGTAGTGTTAGGTGATAAGGAAGACTGGAGTGCCGGAAGGGACTAATGAGTTGTGAAGAAAGATGCAGAGCTATTTGTTTTTCTAGTGTTAACTGTGGTGGATTGTGTGTGTGTGTTAGATAAGAACATAAAAATGTACTCGATAGTGGAAGCATAAAATCCAATGTGAACATCCACAGCTTCAGAATGGCAAATCCCAATGGTGTAGAAGTTCACTGAGATGTGTAGGCCTGTGTCTGGCTAACTTTTATTTGATAGTTCTTTGCAATCAAGTGATTGTTCTTTTTTAAAATAAAGTTACAGATTTCTCTTTAAGACTCCTGTCAAGTCTAGCTATCCCTATGAATAAAGGCTGCTTCGGATAGACAACAAATACTAATGCTGTTAGCAAGGTGGGAAGAAATAGGAAACTGACCCAGATGGCATTTTTTTTTAAATTTTTATGATTTATTTATCTTTTATTTTATGTGCATTAGTGTGAAAGTGTCAGATCCCCTGGAACTGGATTTTCAGACAGTTGTGAGTCGCCATGTGGGTGCTGGGAATTGAACCCAGGTCCTCTGGAAGAGCAGTCAGTGCTCTTAACCGCTGAGCCATCTCTCCAGCTCCCCCAGATGGCATTTTTTATCTCTCTCTCTCTCTCTCTCTCTCTCTCTCTCTCTCTCTCTCTCTCTCTCTCTCCCTCTCTCTCTCTCTCCCCGTGTGTGTGTGTGTGTGTGTGTGTGTGCGCACACACACACATGCCACAGCATGCATGTGGGGGTCAGAGAGAGTTCGTTCTCTCCTTACACCGTGTAAGTTCCAGGACTCAAACTCAGGTTGTCTGCCCCACTGAGTCATCTCACTGACCCCTCCACCTTATGTTTTGAGACAGTTTCTCTCACTGACCCAGAAACCCAACATTTCAGCTGGCCTGGATGGCAAACAAACACCCTGAGTCAGCCTGTTTCCACACCCCAGCATAGGGCTGCAGGAATGGGCTGCTTGGTGGTTTCTACATGGATGCTGGCAATTAGGTATCAGAAAAGAGCAAAGCAGGCCATGGAAGGTGAAGATCCAAGAGCTGGATGCTCTTAGCCTTGCTGGTGTTTATAGGCCTGCTGGGGTTGTGATACTGTGGTATTGGCAGCATGCTAGACCAAGGCAAACATCTTACATCAGCTTCTGAGTTAGACATGTCCACGGAAAACAAGTCTTTGTTTGTTTGTGTATGTGTTTGTTCTTTTCCCAGAAGGAGTAGTCATGAGACTTTCAGCTTTGAAATATTTCTTGGCTCTATTTGTGCTTTGTGTGTAGCTGTGATTTATAATGACACTGTGTGTTACACCTGTCAGCTTATAGAAATGAATACTAACTATACAAATTGCTATTTCTAGTAATGACTGTTTGGACTATAATTCTTTTGTGGATAAATATGGGTTTGAACAATATAATCCCTGAACCTAATTGCACAGTGGGACATGGAAGTTGTGAGTGTTGCTCTGTAGAGACCTACCTGCTTTTCAGAGCAGCCAGCCAACTGGCCAAAGAGCTCATTTAGCGCTGTGATAGAGACAGCACAGGATAATGACTGGGTACTCAGCATGTCATTCATGGTTATCTTCCTGGTGACAAGATCCTCAAGTTTTCTTGCAACCCCATGTTGAGACAGGAGTTTTGACCGCCGCTCCCTTTGGAACCATAGGTTTTGCAGAGTGGAGCCATCATAAGCAGAAAACACGGAGACAAACAAAGAATTATTTTCTATGTATATGTCTAACTCAGTTGCCTTGGTCTAGCGTGTTGCCAATATTACAGCCCCAGAGGCATCAGTGACAGAAGGTAGAACTGTGAGGCTTGCACCTAGCATTTGAAAGAAAGAAACTTAGGTCCCTAGGAAGCAAACACCCTGCAAATCTGGATTCGAGCTTTGGGATTAAGCAAAGGCCTGCAGGTGACAGGTCAGAGTAGCATGGGTGAGTTGCAAGCTAACTGGGGTCCCGGTGAGCTTGTCTTCTACCCGCCATCGTGTCCTGCGGTGAGGACATATATGAACACCACCAGAGTCATTTATGAAAGGCCTAGCTGCTGCTGCTTGTCTAAAGAATGTTCTGGTATCAATGGCAGGGTCCCCATGTCTCCTGCATTCTCATGCAAAGGACTCCACTGCACACTCATTTGCAGCCCAGGCTGGGGCAGATATTTAGAGTGTAGCTGAGAGTGCATTTGGCGGGTGATGCTCTCTTAGAATGGCATCAGTTGATTCTGAATCTGTCACCTGACTCCCTTCCATCACCAACTCTAGACTTAGGGTCTCTGAGATTGAATCATGTTCTTCTGTTGTGTTAATTGACCCTCCTAGGCCCGCAGGAGTCTATCTAAAGCCTCAATCCATCTGGGTACCAGGGATGGAACCAGGGTCCTTGGTAAGAGCAGCAAGTGCTCTTACCCTCTGAACCATCTCTCCAGCTTCACCTGGAACATTTTAAAGAGTGCTTTTTTGGGTTCTATTCCATCTGGAAGAAAAAGGACCAAAAGCCCATTTGACTGTGATGCCAATAGACAGATACGTGAATGTCCTGCTGGACTATGCAGACCTGTGGAAAACTGGTCATGGGTGACAGCCACTTTCAGGTAGAGCAGGTTGCTCCCAAGTCGTAGAGCTGGTTTCTACCACATCCAGACGACGTCAGTTCCCACATACAGACAAAGCACAGGAAGTTGGGGTGTAGCCCTCAAATCCACTCTGTGACATCACTGAGCTGGAAAGTGGTTCTTCACATACAGACTCTGGAGCAGCCGGTGTGAATGGTAGGTTAGTTATTTGTCCTGACAGTCTTATCCGAGAGGATACAGACAGGAAGGCCTAACTAGACGATCCTGCTGTGGTCATCATCTAGCAGAGGTGCTGAGCACGCTCCCACTTGGAGTAAGAGGATCTCACCCTAGGGAGGCACTGTCGAGGGAAGACACTATGCCTTGGATCCTATAGTAACAGGCAAGGGGTAAAACATAGACTGTTGGCGATAACTTCTAAATCTACTGAGTTGTGAATTGTCCTGCTGTTTTAGTCTCTTGGTTGCTCATCCAATCCATCTGCTCTGCCTAGGAAACCACTTGGCCGGCAGCTCTCACTATTGTCTTATCTTTCCCCACCTCCACGTGTTGTTTCTGTTGTGTTTTGTTGCAGACACACTCATCGAGGAAGCAGATCAGGTCTGCCCAGCTGGATGCTATCGTGTATGGCCATGTCTGCCTCCCGGGCTCACCCTTCGCTAACAGATGGCTACTGAGGCCCAGAGATGCCGCTGAGAGACATGACTACATCCTAATCTGGAGTGGCCCAGCCACCTGTGGACCACACAGCTGATGGCGGGCGTCCTGCTTCTACAGATTGCTGGGGTGGCTGTCGGGCACCCCGTCCCTGGGGCTTGTTTTTGCTTCTGGGAGTTCTGGCTGCTCTGTAGCCAACAGGGAGAGGGAGGACTCTGTTGTTATGTGACCTTTATGACCTGCAGTCTTTGGTGATAGTAACACCTAGCTCTGTGTAGCCAGAAAGCCTCCCATGCCCCAGGGACCCTATCTAAATTATCTTGTGAAAACAGAGCTCTGAGAGTGGGGAATGTAAAATAACAGACTCCCGTTAACATTTTGCTGTTTTAATATGTTCTATGTGTCTGAATGGCAATGTGTGTGTGTGATCATGTCTCCTGCCTCTCCTGTCTTTAAACAAGGCTTTTCTCATTATGTTATGCAAGCACAAAAAAAAGGAAAGCAAAGTAATTTCTGTTGAGAACTGACAATATTTTGATGCACATCTTTGGTCTTCTTTTTTAAATTTATTTTTTATTTTATATACATTGGTGTTATGCCATGGGTGTCAGATCCCCTGGAACTGGAGTTACAGACAGTTGTGAGCTGCCATGTGGGTGCTGGCAATTGAACATGGGTCCTCTGGAAGAGCAGCCGGTGCTCTTAACCATTAAGTCATCTCTCCAGCCTTATCTTTGGTCTTTTAATGAGTATACTACAGCAAAAGTAAAACAGTACACAACTTCATTTATACATATTTCTCCTAGCTTTCCTCCTTCATGTGAGCCAGTGTGAGTAAGTTTTATATCTATGAGAGACAGACAGACAGGAAGAATGAATGTATATGTGTGTGTGTGTGTGTGTTGACAGGGCTCAAACCTCAGGCCCTATGCATGCCAGGCGAGCACTCTCCTACTGAACTACAGATCCAACCTCCCTTTTATAGGACAGCAGCATCCACATGTGCCATCTCTGATTTAGCCAGTCTCATCTCTGTAACCCTTTTGTTTGGTTCTCATTTCTCTCTGTCCTAAACAGGGCTAATGGTTGCTGCATCTTGATGTTTGTCTTGTTCTGTTGTAATCCTTCCGAGACCCCCAGGATGGCTATCTGTAAAGACTGTACCCGAAACCACATTTGGAAATCTCTTGCTGTGTTGGACTGCTACTTTTATGTCAGCTTGATAAAGGTTAGAGTCGTTTGCGAAGAGAGAACCCCAACTATAGTTATAAGTTATAAGCAGCCTGGAGGGCTGGAGCACGCAGGTGGTGGAGTACTGGATGCTGCCACTCCCCCATCTATTTTTATAGCTGTGACCTTGGGCTCTGTTGTCACCCACGTTTCAAAGGGAGACGGACTTTCCAGCCAGTGGAGCCCAACAAAGTCCTTCAGCACCGCCCCTCTGCTTTGCTGCATGACCAACGTTAAGGAAAAACGGGCTGTTTTGTAATTTGTTGGTAATTGAATTTGCCAGAAGAATAGCAAGCAGCGTAAGGGGATACGCGTAATGTACTCCAAATACCTTTTGTACCCTGAGGACTTATGGAAGACAAGCCCTCCAGGAGTGAGGGGGCGGGGTGTATGACTAAAAGCTTGCTGAAGAAACCACTGAGAAGGTGCTGGTGTCCAGGGTTTCCCTCCCTGTCCTTTCTTCCCTCGCTCCGCTCCTCTCTCCCTTAAAAGCCCGCACTTGGTTCCTGACCTAGCTTTCTATATCTTTACCAGGATTACAGGTAACAGCATCCAGAGACTTCTAGCCATGGGTAGGCTCCCCTTTAGGACTTTGATCTAGGCCAACGATTTCTTCATTCTCCTCGTCTTTCTAATCTGGAGCCAGCAAGAGAGATCTGATCAGGTAAGACAAGGAAGTCTCCCCTTCCCCCCCATCTTTTTTCTTCATTTTTTCCTTTTATTGAACATAGATTCTTTCCTCATACACCATATCCTGACTATAATTTCCTCTCCCTCTACTCCTCCCAGTCCCTCCACACACACTTATAAGAGATAACAACCAAGTTGACAAAATAAAATATAATAAGACGAAGTAAAAACTGTCATAATGAAGTTGGATATGGCAACCTAACCAAGGGAAAGAGTCCCGAGAGCAGACACAGGAGTCAGAGACCCGCTCCTTCTCAGTCAGGAGTCCCATGAAAAGACTAAACTAATGGCTGAGCGTTCTACATAGAGGACCTGGTGCAGACCCACGTAGGCCCTGGGCTTGCTGCTTCAGTCTCTGTGTGTTTATATGTGCCTTGCTTAGTTGATGCGAAGAGACTTGTTCCCCTGGTATCCGTCATCCCCCTCTGACTCTTAGAATCGTTCTGCCCCCTCTTCCTCAGGATTCCCTGTGCTCTGAGGGGAGGAATTTGATGGACATCTCCCATTTAGATTTCCTCTCTGCATATAATGTCTGACTTTGAGTCTCTCCATCTGTTCCCATCTGCTGCCAGTGGATATCTCTCTGATGACGACTGGATAAGCCTCTGATCTATGAGTATAGAAGAATATCACTAGGAATCATTTTATTGGTTTTTTTTAAGACCAGTAATGCTTGGTTTTACTCTAGATCTCTGGGCTATCTAGTCTCTGGCTCTTGGTTACCCATGAAAAGTCAGGTATGGGTGTCTTCTCATGAAGTCAAATCAGTCATTGTGGGAACTATTCCCACAAGTTCTGGGCCACCATTGTCCTAGTATACTTTGCCAAAGGTTTTGTGGCCGCCTCCTCTGCATCTTAGCCTGTCCTCCCAGGGCCCTGTCTCTAGTAGTGATCTCACCATGGTCTCTGTACATAGGGTACCCTAAACCTGGGGTTCATCTGCTAGTTTTTCTGAGAGAGATGAAGACAGGGTCAGAGCCCTGTATGCATAAAGAGGAAGAACCTGGCTCAGGCTTTCCACGGCCTCAGGGGCAGTAGTCACAGGTAGCCAGTGCCATGAGTCCTTTGCTATTGTGCACACATATTGCCTAGATGGGGTCGAGCCAGAGGATGGAGCCTGACCGAGGCAAGATTATCTGATTTGTAAGCGTAGACGTGAGCTTGGATGACAGATTCATCTGCTCCTCATTGTCACACAGGCCCCCTCCTGGGAGTTCTGAAATTCCCTCCATCCACGGATACTGTTCTCCTACCGAGATTCTTTAAGGTTTCACCAAGGGGTTTCCCCTTCTTCATACTTGGCTTTGAAGGTTCTTTACAAATGGTTTTCTGACCACAGCAAGTCAGGAGTCTATCCTTCCACTGTGAAAATCACCCTGTAGAACGTGTGAATGGGGCCTAACAGTGAGGCCAAAAAGGAGCTAAAGCCAGAGTTTGCTAAGCCCCAAACAAATGCAGCGTCTGAGTCACTCAACCCCAGATGCATTCAACCCCAGATGCATTCAACCCCAGATGCATTCAACCGCAGGTGCATTCAAC